TTCGATGATAGCGAAGAGGGGTGGTGGCTGAAAATCCAATGTCGGAGACACGAGGTTGCTTGGATGACCGGAGAGGGATTAGGGATTGCTGGAGCCTGGAGGGAATGAGTCGATGGTACATGATTGAGATATTTTTGGGAACGATGATATTGGAGCCAAAGGAGATTAAATTTGTCTTTCACCCTTTGTTTATTTTATTTGATAACCTAGGAACATGAGCAACCCACATGCCACATGAGTGACAACGGGGCCTACTAAACCTGGGGTACCTGCATACTAACCATCAAGGACTTTGTCTCGGCGCAGTGCCCGGCGTTGTGCTACCATTATCGGGGAGACTTCGTCTCCTGTACCAAGGGTGCCTCCGAGAACACCAAGAAGGTGATTCGAACCTGGGACCTTGTCACATCCCAAACTCGAAACCCAGCCCTTTTACCAACTAGGATATCTTACCATCGGCTTCAGCCTCTTATTTACATGACAACATGTTGCTCAAAATTAGGTTGAACCAGACTACGCCAATGTGACGGAAAAACATATGGGAGGGCATGTTTGATAAATTATTAATACAATAAGGGTAGGTTTGATGTGATCTATAATAGAGGGGCATGTTTGAGAAAAATGTTAAGTACAAGGGCATATTATATCTATAACCCAAAAAGAAAGAATAACATAGGTTAAACATGTCAGGCAACATATAACTGATATAAGAGGAAAAAAGTGTCATTTTATGGGTTAATTCGCAGAAAATAAACCACCAAATGTTATGAAAATAACATGACTATTTCCATAACATTTGTTTTCTATGGTGACATCAACCCTGAAACATGCTATTACCATATTCTCAAACTATCACATGTCCAAGTCCAACTTCTATTTGTTTTTATCAAAGCATGAAAGAAAAGGTCAGTATTCAAGCATCAGACCAAGTACCTTTCAAGCTCCCCCAGTCCATGGACGGCACACCCAAATCTTTCCAGACCGCCTTCGACGCGTCCACCACGTTGTTCGGACACGGCGACTGGTAATCGTGGGTCGCGTTGCACACTTCCGCCGAGGCGCACTCGTCTACCACTTTAGCCTTCACGGTCCGAACTTTCCACCGTATCTTGATAAACCGGGAACACCTCCGCTTCTTGTTGACCACCCTGTCGACAGCGCCACTATCCGCTTGTTGTCGGAGTGAAACTTGTTGTCGCACTCCGAAGGCCCGCCGCCGTCTTTCCCCTTCTCGAAGCCGTTCAGCGTCAGCAGTGCTTTCGTCGAGCGCTTGCGGCTGACCGGCGGTGAGAAATGGTAGGCCATGTAGGTCTTCCCTTCGACGCAACATTCAGAGTCGTTTTCTTTGTTGAATTTGTGGGGCGGCGGTTTCTTCCCCTTCAGCTTCCCGCTTGGCCGGCAAACGCCGCCATGGTGTTTGTGTTTTGCCTCGGCGGTGGGGAAAGAGTAGTGGGTGAAAAGTAGGATCGATGTGGACAGTATGATGAAGATGTTCTTCTTCATATCTATTGCATTTGAATATTGGAGCTAGTAATGAATATCTTGTTTGGGTTTCATGGGTTTATATATAAGGAGGGATTGGGAGGTGGATAATCTCAATCACCGAAAAGGATGAACAAGTATTGTCAATTAAATTGGAGATGGCCAGATATATAAGGAAAAATCGTCTTGGACAGAAGCGAAGAAAGTAATTGATAATTATTGATAGCCAAAGCCAAGTAGTTGTCTTGTTTATGAAACTAGCTACCCAAAGCCAATTAAGTTATCTTTGTTTGGGAAACTATATAACATATGACGTTTAATTTGCATGTGAGGACAAAATTTTCGAAAGCACCTACCAGATTTTACTTCGAATTTTCCCTAATATAACTTTAAGTTAATACTAAAAGTTCCACCACTGAAGTTCCACCAAAATACACTTTGCAATTCATAAGATTACATTGCGTTTGCAACCATATCATCCCATAAAATTATGTTCATATTATGAAAAGTTGTGATCAATGTAGTCAAAATCGCGTTTTAAAGTTTAAAAACTTACGGTTTTATGCTTTTAGATCACCAAAACGCTTCTATGTATAATCTCCATTTTTTTTATAACTAATGTAGTTAAAAACTACGCTTTAAATCTTAAAAACTTACGATGTTATGCTTCTAGATCACCAAAACACTTCTACGTAAAAACACGCTTTGACTACATTGATTGTGATGGCCTAACATAACCCCTTAATAAAAATGAAAATATCGTCAAGAAAACCAAGGTGAGTGCGCCGAGGGTGATATGACATTGTCTCCTCTGCTACTGATACATTTAAAAGCAAAGACATGCATCACCCTATACAACACCCTTTTTGCCCCAAAACCAATAAAGAGATAAATTAAACAACACAAGTAGTAATTAATATTAGAAAAAGATCCATCACATCCATAAAGAGATAAATTAAACAACACAAGTAGTAATTAATATTATAAAACTATACTAAGTACTAAAATAAAAGATAAAGACAAGCACATAATACTAACATTCTACGAAGTATATTATTCAAATGAAAAGAAAGACGAGAAAAGGGTAGGGAAATGGCGCTCCCAAAACCGAGAAATTGCCCTTTGGACTCAGTCTCTCGACCTTTTATATGGAACTTCTAGTTGTTGGTGTTGTTCCTCTTGTGGTTTCTCCTCGAATTGAGGTTATGGTTCTTCTTCTGGGATTTGTGGTTCTTCTCGTCGAGGGTGATTTCGGTTTCTTCATGCATAATGCTCAGGGCTAAGGTCCTCTACAAACCTCTTACTCTTGGTTGAATTACCTATATAGGAGAAAAACCACAATACATGTCCAAACAAACCATTAAGCAACACACTTGATCAATTGAAACAACTAAATTCATCCTTAGGCTCAACTCTACACACCACCACATTTAAGTATTACAATGTAGAAACCAGAGGTGCATAGGTTGACAAACATTTTGTAATGACTAGGATCGAGATCTAAATGCATGAAAACAAGGGCATCATGTCTTTCAAGAGGTTTCTATACCTCAGTCGTAGGCTAGAATAAACTCATTATACAATAACCACAACATGAACTCACGGCTATAGAAGCATATCAAAGGACAAAAAAAAAGAAAAAGAGTTTAAGTCTCAAACTCAAGGATCATGCATCAAGGATTCAAGCTCTAGTCATAAACACACTCCTTGGGTCTATCTTAATAAATCAAGTTCAATTGATAAGAAATGGACCAAGATAAACAAGTTTAATGTGAGTTGGGAATTTTATCAAGCACTTTGTGGGCAACATTAAAACTTCATAAACATGCAATTCAAATCCACCAAGGCCTCCAAACTCACATACACATTAATAAAAATATACTCTACGATCTTATTGCAATATCCATGTAATTCCCTAGGCCTAAGTAGCTTAGATGGTAAGCTGACACACATGCTTAACAACAACAACATTTGCAATCATTGCTCAAGCAACTAGATAGTTTCCAAACAATCATTCATGCAATTCTTGACATAGCAAGGGAGTCATCAACTAGATAAGGTTATAAACATTCCTTAAACAAGATCAAACATGAAATTTTAATTTTTGAAGAAGGTAAAGGAAATACAAACCGATTGTTGGGTCCTCCCAACGAGTGCGTATTCCACGTCTTATTGCCAGACAATCGCCTTCAAGCATTCGGTCCAACTCAAGACCTCCTTAAAGTTGAGGTTTTAATCGGAAAAGTGGAGTCTCAAGTCTTGATTTGTCTCCCGGTCATTGGGTGAATGCTCATGTAGAAGAGAATGCTTGAGATACCTCCAATAAAACCTCTCTTCAACTTTTCTCTTCTTCTCTTTGCTGCGAACCAAATGGAGTAGTTTTGAAGGTTTATCATCACATCGACAAAGAGGGATTGATGACGAGCTAGCCTTGTCTTGAAAAAGATTTGTTTCAAAGGACTCGATGCTAGAAGCCTTTCAAGGTCGGGTGACCTTCCATGGTCAAAGTGAATGGCCTCTTTGGGCACACTAACCAGGATTAACCCCAAGCAATCATCATCCTCTTATTCACCCACCTCTCTCTTGGCTTGATTGATTCCTTCTCCATGTGGAATCTCAAGCTTATACACATCATTACTTCCTTCTTCACCCACAATAACTTCATCATTGCCCCTTCCTCCTTTAATGCATCATGTTGTCCGATGGAAGCATAGATGTATAGTCTTCACTAGATGTAACATTAGTCAGGTCACAACCGACATCTCTAACTAGAGGTAAGGTCGACCTCCTCTAAATGGAGTCTCCCTGTCCGCACACTAGTCAGGTCAGTTTATGGTCATGCACTCACCTCACTAGCATCAACTACTCCTATTGATTCATCTGACTTGTAATGCATAGGACAGAAATTAGTGATAGCCATACCTCTACTAATCAAACCATGTTGAGTAGGGAGGATCCTCCTATTCAAGCATTGCTGGAAGAGGAGAATCAACTTTGGCGGCGGATTTAAGCTCCAAATCCATTGCCAAAAGTGTGTCAGATGGAGAAACTCGAAAAGGCAGAGAAGGCTGTCGAGAACGTTCCGAGAGCCGAACGGTATGCAGATATAACTTGAAAGATACTCGAGGCCACATAATACGATACAAGCCAATTGATAATCAGGATAGAAGGCAACTGCATAGATATAATGACATCTACGCGGCTCTTTTAATACGAACGTAAAGGCATTCAAGAAACGGAACGGACAATGGAACATGCAAACCAACCCAAGAAATATATTCAACCTTAAAAATACAAACCTCATCAATCTGTTTCGACTTTCGATCCGAATGACAGAAAATTGAGCTGTGCTAAAGTAGGAATTCCCAGAATTAATGCGACAAGGAAGAAAAGAAGCTTCTGCGATTCAAAAATGGAAACACAAAAAGGTCAACCATGACATGTTTCCCAGTCAGTAGCCCATGGGAGATGGCTTCATTACGGTTTTACAGGATTAGTTTTACATAGCGGAAGATTCGTCAATCCCGCTTACTCTTGGTCCTTTTGCTGTCTCTCTTGTTCCTTCCATTGTTTCTATTCTTCCGCTTCCGACGTCTGTCTTCTTCAGATGAGCTATCCGATTCCTCCGAGTCGGAGTCAGATGAATCATCCGAGTCAGAATCAGAGTCCGAGGCTGTGTCAACTTCAGAGTCCGGCTCTGAATCTGAGGCAGGTTGCTGTTGTTGCATGATCATACGTGGCATGTTCTTCAGATACTCCCGCAGGTTTTCTGTGATTCCACCTAAACCAATCGACGTGAAGAAGTTGATGGAGAACCTTGTATTCTTCGGATTATCCCTCGGGAAAATAGATTCAAATGAATCCTGAATTGCTGGGTCTGAGAGACGATCGTTTAGTCTCCGGATACCCAAGTGTTCTGATAGTTCCTGCATCCCAGATAACACACATCAATATATATATATATCAGGAAGGAATCCAGGCAAGAAAATATATACTAAGCATATTGTTTGTATGCTCGAAAGAAGATTACATTTGTATTTGGAAATTTTCTAATTTTATGGAATTGGACTGAGTTCTAACAATCCAAGTAAAAGTTGATAAAATTCCCAAACGAATTCTACAGCCATTAACTAATCAGCGTCGAGTGACCAATTACCCTCAATTGTTTGAATAAAGTAACCTAATCACATATCGATTCTAGTTTTCACAACTCTTTTCACGTCCTTTTGCAAAATAGAAGTATGAGCAGTCTCTCAATATAACTAAATGAAGACAAGCTTATAACTAAAATAAGAAAAACTTATAGCTAGGCTAAATGATGACTTAAAACAATAACAAGTTGAATGCAAGTGGAGTTCAAAGGGTAATGCTGGAACAATGAACAAATCTCAATCTCAAAAAAAACTTGATCAACTTCAAAATATTTGACTCTGACATTTCATATTCATTCAAACTGGTTCCTATAAAGAACTGAGAGATATAACTACCCTACAAGGGATTGATAGAAATGTGAAAGTCATATAAAGAAGGGGTTGATAAAGTGCTCATATAGTCCTCTTGGGCTAACAAGAGATATAACTACCCTACACAAGGGATTGATAGAAACTCATATAAAGAAGGGATTGATAAAGTGCTCATATAGTCCTCTTGGAATAACAAGAGATATAACTACCCTACACAAAGGATAAAGAGTGGCAGCACCATACCTGAAATAGGATCTTGATAAATATACGTGAAGAAGAAGTTGTGTCCTCTTCAGTCAAGCGAATGTACGCCAAGACATGCCAAGGGAGTGCATCTGTACCAAGTAAATGAGCAAAAAACTTGGCCACATTACGCAACTTATTAGTTTCCAGCCTGTGAATCATTGAGTACTGTTGCACAAAACACTTTTCAAAGTTTTCCTGGTGGACTTTGTTAATCATGCAGAACCTCTGCCCCAAAAGGCCATAGTATTTCAGGTAGGTCCTCTCTTGACTGCAGCATTCCAAGAGCATGATGCACAATTCCATCTACAGCAAGAAAAATAATTCAAGTCATTCAAGGGGCACAAAAAAGGAGCAAACAGTAAGTACACAAGCAATTAGGATAATTTCAAACAAGTCATGAATCCAAACCGGAAAGTGTATTCCACACCTCTTGCCCAGGCTCAAGTTTAATCTTCAATAGCTTGTGACCAGCTTCTTCAAAGTCCACACTAGACATAATAGTTAAGTAGATAGTTCTACGAAGATTTATAAGGTTTGTCTCGGTTTCATCTTTTATTTGCATCATTTCTTCCTGATCTTCTTCATCAGATTGGTCCTCATCATCCTCGTCCTCATCATCATCATCATCATCCGAACCAGCATCAGATCCTTCCCCATCCTCAGAGTCTTCACCAAGAATGTTCTTCTTCAAATGTTCATATTTCTTCTCGTTCTCCAAATAGTCAGGATCAAATTTAAAGATGTCTGAAAACAGAACAAAAAGCAAGGTTTAGAACAGCCATATAACAATTGCGGAACTAAATGGCACATAGGAGACAAGTCATAATTCAAAAGAGTACCTAGAGATGTTTCTGGATCTATATTTTTTTCATTAAGAGATATTTCATGAGTCAATTGATCATCCACATCAACCAGATCCAATTCTGGTCGAACAGCAGGGTAGCCCTGTGGTCGCATATAACAACAAACAACTCAAAGTTAACCCTTTGCAGAAAGCCTTCTAAACATAAGCAGGACACACATCACATGGACAACATGTACCTGAAATTTTGCTTTCCTTATAGCAAAAAGACCTTCGATCAAAAACTGAACACGCTTGTCTATCTCCCCTTCATGAAGGATGCCACGAAATCTTTCAAAAGCTCCTGCAGAATAATATGCCAGAGCATGCTGCGTAAGATATCATATAATGATTCCAGTCTCCAGTCCAAAAATGTCAATAAGACAGAACCTATTTTTTTCAGTTAGTAGAAAGGCATAAAAGAACAATGGGGTGAATTCCGAGCATTGAAAGCATTAAAATAATTCAAGTTACAGCAATATGTATTGAGAAAACCTCACCAACAGCAGATATAAGTACATAGAGGGAAACAAGGATAACTTGCAATCAAGTATCCAACTAGTCACTTCGAAGAACCTTGCAGTGTGCAATTTTAGAGTAGTGACACATTTCATTTCCATCCCGATGACATTGCTAGGTGATATATTTGTATAACTCACAGAAACCTCTCAAAATCCTACCTAGTGTTCTGACAAAAGTTTCTCTCATGATGTACAATGCATATCCTATGCCGGAAGAAAACAATAAGGAAGCTGCTCACATACTAATGACCAAATCCATCCATATTTAATGTGACCCAAGAACCCCACACAAGATGGCAATAACAAGTGCAGTTGATCTATTTTCGATAATAACAATACCACTATCTAGTGTATTCATTCAAACATCAAGAAGGGTAATTGTGGATGGACATCCTAGGAGGAAATGATCTAACGACTGCCAATAAGAAGGAAATATGTGCACTGATGCATTAATGTAAAAGAGCAGAAACCCACCACTGATGCCTTTCGGTGACAAGTCTTGAAGCATTGCACCACATTCTGTAACAAACCCCACAGCTACCTCCACACTGTCATCGGTGGGTTTGCCCAGAAAAAGAGTAAGAAGCTCTAGAGCAATGAGCTCACTAACCACTTGCTGGTTAACTAAATGAGCAACAAATTTGACAGCAGCAAGCAACTGAGGCTGTTGACAAATAAAACAGAGCCCCAGTTAGAGACATAAAATAACAAGAATTTAATAGCTAAGCAAAGGAGATTCCTTTCCGAATCTCTTCTCAGCAAAGTAACAGGTGCACAGTACAAACCTTGTCATTACGTTTATATGCTCTTTGTAGCTGCAAGATTATCCTCTTAAATAGAAGCTCGCCAACCTCAGGGAACTTGGTATTAACAACAGCAACCAAAGCAGCAAATACATCAGTGAAACCAGGAGACGCCATCTGGGATTTCATGCAAGAACGGCAGAAAAGACCTCTACCCCTTATCAGATTTTCTGAGAATAGTTCTGGGATTATGTTCTTTATGTTGGCAGCATTGACCTTATTAACAAGTCCATTGATACTCTTCCGAAGTGCATCCCAAGTCAGCCTCTGATACTCAGGGCTGCTCTTATCTTCGACCTCTTTCATCATCCTCGCCAACCTAAATGGAGGGATATAAATTCCACCACTCTTACCCAGAGCCAAAGCATCAGAATTCTTCGAGTCCCCATCTTGAGGAGCCGCTAGTCTGTGAGGCTTCAACTCCTCCCTGGCTTTCTCGTCATCTCGCTCTTTCTCCATCCGAGAATCCTCTAGCGGACTATCCCTTTCACGGCCTCTCCTATACCTCTCACGGTCATTATCATCAACATCATCTCGGTTTCGGTGCCTCCTATACCTTTCATCATCAACTCTACCCCTGGATCGTTCTGCTCTTCTTTGCCCGTCCTTTGACCGTTCATGATCTACATCCCGACGGGAATGGCGGTCCCTGTTTCTGTAATCATCCTCAGTTTCTCGCCTCCTATCCCTACTATCGTGCCGACGAGTTGTGTCCTTATCCCGCCCGTCTCTCTTGTCCCGCCCCTCGTCAGGGCTCCTACCACTATTCCGCTCACTGCTCCTCCTCGCCTTGCCCATTCTACCCCGATCTCTATCTACTAATTCCCCATCTTCATGTTTACCGCCATCCCTCTCTACCAATTCCCCTTCTTCATCGGAACTTTCCTTCACTTCCCGATTCTCACTCCGCCGCCGTCCTTCACCTTCGCCGCCACTGAATTCCTTCTCACTGCGGCTGTTTACAACCCTAGCTCTTTCATCCTCCTCGTCCCTACGCGCATCCTTTCTATCGTGCCTCCTGGTCGTAATTCTTCTATCGGAATCAGAAGAATCGCTTGAGCCCTCGCGAGTGGAACGGCCGTCTGGTTTTGTTTCCTTCCTCGACCGACCACGATGCCTGTGTCCATCCTCGTCGCTGGATTCGCTGCTGTGCCTTCTGGCCATGTCTGGATTCGTAGAAAAAATCTCCACCTATCTGCTGGAGAACAAGAGGAGATCCCAGAGCCGAACGAAAATCGAAAACAGCTCAAGTCGGCGTTGTTGGATCCCCGAAAACCCTAACTGATGTAAGAGATTAGCCTTTGACAACAACCCAAAAAGAAAAAAAAAAAATTTATACTTAAAGCGTATGGGTATCAGAAATGAATCCCTCTTCGTAAAGAAAGAGGCAAACCGTATCTTTCAGGCCCATTATGAAAATCATCCAACATTAGAGAGGGGCCTTCAATTCTCCTTATGTCCCAGCCCAAGATTTCCATATCATGGACCCGTATTTTTAAGAATCTCAAAATCGTCAAGAGCTCTTGTTTATTGTTGGTACTATCTATAGGTGTCAAAACATAGTCCGACCCGATTAACCCGCCCGATCAACCCGACCCGCAACCCGACCGCAATCCGAATTGATTAAAAGTCAACAACCCGTAACCCGCCCGACCCGCAATCTGATTGACCCGCAACCCAACTAACTCGCAACCCGACTAACCCGCAACCCAACTAACCCGCAACCTGATTGACCCGCAACCCAACTAACCCGCAACCCGGTTAACCCGAACCCGATTGACCCGCAACCCAATTAACCCGAACCCGATTGACCCGAACCTGACTAACCCGTAACCCGACCGACTCAACCCGAATTTCATCTAATCCACTTGAATAATTATAAAATTATACAATACATAGTTTTTCAAAGGGCTAATACCACTAGGAAACCCGAACTATTAACTTTGTGTCATTTGTGTCCTAAAGTATCCTATATGACATTTGTGTCCCAACCTATTATAGTTTTGTGTCATTTATGTCCTGACGATTTTGTTGACCGTTATATATAACGGTTGACCAGACGATTGTCAACTTGATGTTGACTTTTGCTGATGTGGCAAACACGTGGCAACTATGTAGATGTCATGTCATTGACACCTCATATTTTTAATTAATAATTAAATAAATACTAAAATTGAAAAAATATATATAAACTCAAGTGGGCAGGGGGAGTGGTGTTGGCTGGTGATGGCGGCGGCAGGGAGGTGGGATGAAGCGTGGGATGAAGAGAGTGAGAAAGAGTTGGGGTTAGGGTAGGGATGGATGAGGGAGAGAGAGACAAGCACTCCGCGATCGTTGCCGGTGTTGGAGGAGTTTTCCGGGCTGGGGAAATCCTTAGGGAGAGAGACAAGCACCATCGTCTTCTCTTCGGAGATGCAGATCTACAAATCTCGCAGATGGTGACGAGCGTTGGCGATGCAGATGAGCGGGAAGGCGACGGCGATGTAGATGAGCAGGGAAGGCGGCGGCTGGAGGTCTTAATTATTTTTTATTTTGTAATTTTTTATTTTAATTTGTTTTTCTACAAATCTCGCAGATGGTGACGAGCGTCGGCGATGCAGATGAGCGGGAAGGCGACGGCGATGTAGATGAGCAAGGAAGGCGGCGGCTGGAGGTCTTAATTATTTATTATTTTGTAATTTATTATTTTAATTTTTTTTGTTAGTTTATTAATTTTTTATGGAAAAATAAAAATAAATAAAAAATAAAATTCCACATCAGATGCCACATCAACGCTGACTATACTTTCTGTTAAAAACTAACGGTCAACGTAGGTAAACTCTTAACAAAAAAATAGTTTAGGACACAAATGTCATATCGAATACTTTAGGACACAAATGACACAAAGTTAATAGTTCAGGTTTCACAGTGGTATTTTCCCTTTTTCAAAATAAAGTTTTTCATTCTAAACTTAAGTAAAATTATTTTTTCATTTCGTATAAGAAATTTTAAAAATATGAAACTCACTTGATATTACGTATTTTTAGAAAATTACAAAAATTGAAACATGAAGGTCACTTGAGAGTTGAGATCATGACAATATTAATATAATATATAAATTAAAATTTTGTTTAATTTAACTATTCAATAAAATTATCAATTAAATATAAATAAAGTAAAGTAATGTATTTGGTAATTTGATGTTTTTAAAAGAAGAGGGAAATTTTGGTGTATTCAAGTTTTTGGGAAGAGAAAGAAGTGGGAAATTTGGTTCTTTGAATTTTTTAGAAAAGAAACAAGTGGGAATTTTGGTGGTTTTGATAAGTGGGAAGAGAAAGAAGTGGGAAAGTTTTATTCTTTTTATTATGAAAGAGAAATAAGGAGGGAAACTTTTGACTTTTCAACTTTTTGTAGAAGGAAAGAATAGGGTAATTTGGTTCTTTCAATTTTATGGAAGAGAAAGATGAGGGAAAATTAAATTTTTCTAATGTATGGAAGGAAAAAGAAGGAGGGAAATTTTAGTATTTTTGTGAAAAGAAAGAATGAAACAAATTTGGTGTTTTCAATTTTTTGGTTTTTCATAATTTTAGCTTTTGAAATATGAATCTTTAACTTTTATATGGAGGGCAGGACTAGTTAAAATTATTCTTATATGCTTTGAAGGCTAATATGTATATATGTATGTAATTTTTTATGGGCTAATAAATAAATTAACCATTAGTTACAACAATTTATACTAAACTTGATAAGTAATCTTTGACGGTTCGTTGTTTAGGATATAAAGTATATGGTTAGGATATAAGGTATAAGGTACATATGGTTTAGGGTGTATATGGTTAGGGTATAAGATATTGATGGTCTTGACAGTTCTAAGTTTTTTATTAACATATGTTCACTTGAAGTCATTTGAAGTCTTTAACGGCAGGAGATCCCTTTTTAATTTATGTTTATGGTACGTGGTTAGGGTACAAGGTATGTGGTGTAAAGTATAGGATATATGGTTAGGGTATAACAATTAGCAAATATCACTTTTTATCTATGTTTTGAAAATCAAAGTATGAATTTCACTTTTAAATTAACTATACTAGCAAAATCACAACTCAAGGACATATGGTTAGGGTATAGGTTATGTGGTTAGTGTATAATGTATTGATGGTTTAGGGTATACAATCAACAACATATACTAACTTAATATTGTTGATTGAGGGTAAAGCTAAGTGTATAGGATATATGATATTGAGTAAGTTATGATTGAAGTCACAATAATTTTACTAAATTTGATAGCTAATCTTTAATGGTTCAATTTTTAGGATAATTCGAACAATTTCACAAATAACTCGTTTGGCAACAGTTTACTAAAGTTATTTGGGCAATGAGTTATTTTGAAATAACTCCTTTTATCACTATGCTTTTGCCAAATACCACACGCCAAATACCAGATTTGCATGGTTATACTAAACGATATACTTTAATCCAATTACTACTGAATTACTACTAAATATCAAATAAACAATTAACGGTGTCTTTTGGTTACAAATATTGATATCACCATTTCTAGTAGCTATAATATTTTACCAATTATGATTAATTACATAACAAGTTTGCAAGTCATACAAATTGATTTAACATTTTGACTAGTTTTTTTTCAAAAAAATAAAGTATATATATACGAGGTAGAAATAAATTGGTTAAAAAGTTGAGAAAATATTTTAAATTAGTGTAATAAAATGTGTAAGTTGGTAATGAGTAATGAGTTAAGTTACTTGATGCGCTGGCCCGAACAACCCGAAACCCTACCTGCCCGCAACCCGCCCGACCCAAAACCCGATGAACCCGCAACCCGATTTGCCCGCAACCCGATTGAATCCGAACCCGATGAACCTGCAACCCGACGAACCCGCAACCCGTTTGAACCCGAACCTGATGAACCCGAACACGCAACCCAACTAACCCGCAACCCATTTGAACCCGAACCCGATTGAACCCAGCCCGAACCCGCCCGATTGACACCTATAGTACTATCCACGGTTATCCAAATCGGGCTGCTCCGACCGCGCTTAACCCGATTCGGCCTGTCTAGCGGTTTCGATTGCATCGAATTGACAAGAAAGGTGCTCGTTCGGATATTGACCGGTTCATCCGGTTACCCGACAAAACCGCCTAATCCGTGCCGGCGGTTTTGGGATTACTGTAGGCGTTTCCACTCTTTGCTCGGCAGTGGCCAGAACTTCTTGCTTGTGAGGGAGTAGATGAAGGGGTTGTCGGCGGCGTGGATGAAACTTCTGATCAAGGCCCCGGTGAGGTATGCTTACCGGATCCAGATCAGAAGTGCGAGATCAGATCTTCGAAACAAACCAGATCGGCCACGAGAGAACCAGATTAGAAGGCGGATATGCAGATCTGTTCCGTGCTTGCGTCTCTTCTCTGCGCTTCACACGGGAACGACAACAAGGAGCGGGTACAAGACGGAGACGGCAATCCCTAGTGGTGAACAGAGATGTCACTGTCGGAGGCTGAAAGACGTGTATTGCTGGTGTGAATATCAAGCGAGAAGGCTTGCTAGTCATCAAGTACTCAACAACAATAATAGATTAACTCGAGAACAACTCAGAAGGAAAAGTAACTCAGATTGCTCATACTCAGTGGCTCACACAGAGAGCATCGTGAGACGGGAATGCCCTTTTTGTTTATTTTCTCTTCCTCCTTTAATTAGACCTAATCTTAAATTTTTATATTGTATACGCAGATGGGTCAAGTAATTATACTTTATTTGGTAAATTTGTGTATTGCCGGTTTTAAAATCGGTTTTATACCGTTAATCACTGGTTATCCGATGAACTTTAAACCTCTTGTTAATCTGGATCGCAGTCCGGTCCGGTTTTGACAAGACTAGTACTACCACCATCAGTCTTGCAAAGCGACCCCACATCCACAAAGCACCAGAGATTCATAGTTCATAAGTAAGAAATCAAGCTTAACTGACAAGACACGTTTTGAGGTGAAATGGAGGAGTTCTTGTAAGAACTCTGACGTTCTCAGTGTCAAGCACCCAAGAATGGGTGACCTTATGTAAAGTCCCCTTGATATGCACCCCAAAGCCGACAATATCTTGTCGGAAAAAAGTTAGGGATGTTACAAATGGTATTAGAGTCTCTTTATGTCCCTCTTGAATGATGGTTGGGCAA